CAGACTTTTTGTTGATGATAAAGAACTATGTAATCTGTTCTGTAATGGTATTTTCATGACCTGGCAAGTTTGAAGTGCTAATCAAAGGTTGGGAGGAAGGAGAGAAGTTAAGACTTGGAGACATATGTTTTGATTGCTTCCTAGGTTCTGAGGGAAAACCTTGGGCAAGCAAAGTGCTGAGAGCTTTAGAGCAGTCTGAAAATTCTGGTTAAAGTCGGAGGCTTAGGCTAGTTTGGAATTCCTTCAGAAACATCAAGTTTACATGGTTTATAGCAAGTTTAGGGGTAGCTTATTTTAATTTGGAGCAGTTTATGTATTTAAAATAATTAGAAAGCTAATGGGATAGATATAGACTAGAGAAAGAAGATAAAGCTAAAGAGCATAGTGGAAAAACTTTTTCTTGTGTTTACAAACTTCCAGATCTATAGGTAGTTGGGGTGTGGAAGTAGTCTGAAGACTAAGGGTAGCAGAGAAAGTTAGCTAGATGGAGAGATAGATAGATAGATAGATAGATAGATAGATAGATAGATAGATAGATGCCAAATTTAGGAATTGACAGTAGGTAAGTAGGGAAGCTTAAGCTGGTGAGATTGACAGGAGTACTTATCTAAAACAGAAGTTATGACAGATGGATCCAAGACATAAATCCTTGAAACTTAATTAATCAATTAAGAAACTTGATATCTTAAGTTTACACAATGAGATGAAAATTTTGGATATATTAGCATTGCTACTGCTTATAATCTGTACTGAAATTTTCACTGTTGAAGAATCAGTTAACAGGTGTGTGACACAAATTGCTAAATGGTCTTATTAATAAAAAAAAATCCCAGTGCCAAATATTGATATAAAAGTTAAAAGATCAGAGAAACAAAACAAGCCAGATACATTCTTACCTCTGGGAAATCCTCGGCCTCAAGACAGACTTCTTCTTTATTCAGGCCTTGTATACCCTTTTCTGCCCTGGCATCTTACTTCCTGGGAAAAAAGGCTTGTATGTATGCTTCCCAAGGAAAGACATGAGATCTCAAGAGTTGGGATTAAAGGTGTGTTCCACCACATCTAACTCTGTTCCCAGTGTAGCCTTGAAATCACAGAGACTCAGACAGATCTCTGTCTCCTGAGTGATAGGTTTAAATTAAATAGTACTTCACAGGTGTCTTTAAAACATTTATAGTAGACTCATCCCTTAGAGTCATATCAAAACCCATGGTTATGGGTTAAAACCATGAACATTTTTCCTCTGTCCAGAGGATAGATATATAAAGTTTAGAACAAGTTGTTTTCAGCACAATGTGAAGCATTTTTTAAGTCTATCCCTAGGGGAAAAAAAAACAAAGGAATTTCAAATTTCTGGGCTCGTGATTATGATAATAGTAGTGTTTTAACAAGGCTAGATTAATAGCTTATCAGAACTCCATTGATTAATGTTAAAACTCTGAACCTTCAAATTTTTAGTATAATAATAGCATGTACAAAAGAAAGAAATATGAAACATTTTACATTTTCCATGCCCTTTGCACTTCTTAAATCATTTCCTTAGACCCTCACAACTTAAGCATTCACATCCTCTGACCTTTACAACTTACTTTTACATACTTGAAATTACCTCCTTAGACCCTACGTCTTAGTTACAGTTTCCATAGCTGTTGAGACAACATGCCCACAGTAACTCTTTTAAAAGAACACATTTTCAGTTTCAGAGGTTTAGTCCATTATCTTCATGGCAGGAAACATGCAAGTTTACAGGAAGATATGGCACTGAAAAGGAGATGAGAGTTCTTCTTCTTGATCTGCAAGCAACAGGTAATGAGAATAATCCCACACAGGACATACTTTAAGCATATAAGAACTCAAAGCCTACAACCACAATGAATCATCTCATCCTACAAGACTACACCTACTCCAATAAGGCCACAGTTCCTAATAGCTCCACTCTATATAGTACAGGCATTCGGTCACAAGAGTCTATGGGTGCCATACCTATTCAAACCACCATACGCCACTCCCTTGCACCCATATTCTTGTAGCCATAACATAATACAAAATACAGTTAGTCCAATTACAAAAGTTCCCATAGTCTCTGACAGCCTCCACAATGTTTAAAGGTCCAAAGTTCAAAGTCTCTTCTGAGATTCATGCAAACTCCTAGTTGTAATCTCATTTAAATTGTAACCAGAGAAAAGGTTGCAATATCATTAAGCTCATGAAAGATTAAGAAAGAGACAGAGAAGGTAAGTCTTGTGCTGTGGCAAGGAAACTCAAGGAAGGTTTCAAGTACATGTGGGAATTGAGAAATCAAGGGACAGAGAAAATTAAGTGACCTGGTGACAAGAATTTCAATCTAAGGCATCCTCAATTTGATTGAGAAACTTGTGAGAGACAAATGTCCCAAGTTACATAGGATGTATTCCTTTGCATGTGATAGGAACACTGTATAGTGACACAAACTTTCTGGTACACCGTATGGCTTTTGTAGTGGTCCAACAGAGACAATTCAGGCATCTCTAGGCTGACACTGACCAAGTCCATGAAAGATAAGGGATGAAAAAATGAAGAGGAGAAAACATATACAGAGGTAGACTGGGAGATACTTCTAGGGAAAGGGAAGTTTCAAATAGCGAAAGGGGGCTGTGTCTTAGTAGAGAGATTACCAAATGGTGGGTGACCAGGGAGGTTATCAGGCTTCAGGAGCCAGAAATACCCAGCGATGGTTGATGGGTACACAGAAAGGCATAGGAAGCTGCAGGAGTTAGAGAAACTGAGAGGACCCATACTGATTAGGCAAGGAGAGAAAAACATTTACCATAGATAGAAAGAAGAAGCAGCTGAAGAGGCACACTCTAGGATTTGGAATTGAATATAGTGGGTAGGGAAAGCCTTCAGAAACAAATGATCCATACTTGCCTTAAGTGAGTCAAATCAACAGTTTTATTCAGTCATGGAAGAATGAGCCCCTTGTATGTTGCCTCTTAATTGTTTCTACTGGGTTTCAGGCACAAGAC